TTTGCCCCCAGTCCCTATAATCCACTGAACATTGCTAGCAAATCTTGCACATATAAGGGGCATAAACCCAGTACTTCATTCAACGTTCCGGGCTGCTTTATTCTTGAAGCACATCCCGAATGTTAGATGAAACAAAACAAAAACAACGGGTAGCTTGCAAGTTCCGACATTTTTTGGAATGACACGTAAAGTGGCAGTGAAGTTATCGGAATTGAATTGTTTCCTCGAAGTTCGGGAAGTTAACTGTGCAACTATGTGGTATGTCAGTTGTAGATGTCGGCTTCAGTGACCCGGAAAATGGAAAGGTGTTGGTCCGCAAAAAAAGCCACACCAGAAGAGTTAAATTTGAAATCTTTTGGTCGCACATAAGTAGGGAACATTCCCTTAAAATTAAAGCCTCCAGCTTGTCTTGTTCCCGAACTGGCAGTTTTCCCACCAAAATTTTCACGCGTCCGTACGTGATTACCAGACAGTTTTAAGGAGCTGAATTTAAAATCTTTTGGTCATGCATGAGTAGGGAACATTATCCTAAAGTTTCAGCCTTCTAGCTTTTTTCGTCTCCATGTTAGTGATTTTCGCGCCAAAATTTCCATGTGCCTATACGTGGGCCCCGGGTGCTTCTAAACACCTGATTTTGCTCGTACATGAGTGGGGAACATTCCCTTAAAGTTTCAGCTTCTTGGCTTTTCCCGTTCCCGGGTTAGTGATTTTCGCGCCAAATTCCCACGCGCCCGTACGTGAACCCCGGATGCTTCTAACATAGCTTTTCCCGTTCCCGAGTTAGTGATTTTCGCGCCAAAAATTCCACGTGCCCGTACGTGAGCCGTTCTTCCCGCTCTCGGATTAATAATTTTCGCGCCAAAATTTCCACGTCCTTGTACGTGGGCCCCGGGCGGTTCTAAACACCTGAATTCCCGCTTCCGGATTAGTAATTTTCGCGCCAAAATTTCCACGTACTCGTACGTGGGCCCTGAGCGCTCCTAAAAACCTGAATTTGCTCGTACATGAGTAGAGAACATTTCCTTAAAGTTTCAGCCTTCAAGCTGTTCCCGTCCCCGGGTTAGTAATTTTCGCGCCAAAATTTCCACGCGCTCGTTGTGAGCTACGGGCGCTCTTAAACAATTGATTTTGCTCGTACATGAGTAGGGGACATTCCCCCAAAGTTTTAGCTTTCTAGCTCTTCTCGTTCTCGAGTTATCAATTTTCGCGCCAAAACTTTCGCGTGCTCGTACGCGGGGCCCAGACGTGCGTGAGAGTTGATACTGGGGTCCAGGGCTGGTACCTGGCTGGGGAACACACTGGCAAAATTTCAACCTCAAAGCTTGCGTGGTTGGCGAGTTGAAACACCC